TTAGTTTTGGCCTTCTTTGCATTGGTAACAGCCCACGCTGCAGTCTTTTCTCCGAAACTGGCGTCTTTAGATTTAACCCTCTCCCAGGCACGTTGTTCAAGGATGCCGTCTGTTTTATGACGATCTATATTAGAGCTGTTACTGTATGATAAGTCGTGAGCGAGGCATGCGTTATCCAAAGGATTAATGCCAGTATCGCCTCTAGCAAGCCTTTTTTTAAGCTTGGTACCGGGTCCACAAAAATTATAACCAGGAATGTGTAGTTCTATCGGAAGTTTGTTTATAAGCATATTGAGAAACCCAGAACCTCTCTTTACTCGCTTTCTCTGTCGATTAACTGCGGATGGATTGGGCACAAGCATTTATATATGCTCTGGCGTGATACGTCAATACAACTAAATTTAATTGTTAGTTTTATACCTTATAAATACTTTACGTATTGCGTGGACGTACAGCACATACAATTTTCCTTAAGAATGATGATCGAAAAGCAGAATATTTCGCTACCGGTAATTAATCACGATGATAATATTTCATTAAGTAGGTTTAAGAAACATGGACCACTTTTTGAAGACTATTCTAAGCGAGGACTCGTTGTTGGCGTTTCTGGGTCTTGTAAAACTAATGTCATAATAAGTTTATTAGCACACCCAAATGGTTTGAGGTTTGAAAATGTGTACGTTTACTCAAAATCCCTATATCAACCGAAATATGAGTATCTGAAACAGCTACTGGAACCCATCAAAGAGATTGGATACAATGAGTATCAAGATGGTAACGATGTCGTTCCTCCAAGTGAAATAAAGCCCAATTCTATTATAATATTCGACGATGTGGTGTGCAGCAATCAGAACGTTATGAGGGATTATTTTTGTTTTGGACGACATAAAGATACAGACTGTTTCTATTTAAGTCAAACATATTCATCGATTCCAAAACAACTAATACGAGATAATGCAAACTTTTTAGTGCTTTTCAAACAAGATGTCACTAATCTAAAACACATTTACGATGATCACGTCAATGTTGACATGTCTCTCCAAGAATTTAAATATATCTGTGGAGAATCTTGGAAAGATAAATTTGGGTTTCTGCTTATAGACAAAAGCTATCCTTTGTCTGGTGGAAGGTACAGAAAAGGCTTTGACGCTTTCATTGTCCTTTAGATCATAAATAAACATGGAATTATCGATGCCGCTCATTAGCATATCAACCATGAATAAGGAATTAGCAAGGCAGTTGGTTAAAACCAGAAAATCAGTGAAACAAAAATATCAAAGTTTGAAATCGGATATAGCTCAGTCGCAGTCTCAGTTAGAAAAAAGTTACAAACCTATAACGGAACCTTTACAAAAACTATTGTCCACCATTAAAACAGATGTGACGGTCAAGCAAGAACCGGCAGAAATAAAAACTGAATCGCGGTCTTCCACACCAAAAAGATCCAGTGTTAACCCCTACAGCAATTATTTACCAATGAACATACCGAGTTTTTTAGAAGATACGTACCAGTACGAGACGGAAAAAACCACTGAAACAGATCAACAAAACAGTGACGAATTAATTAATCAGGAAGTGGAGCAAAGTCGTGCCTTTCTTCAAGATCTTTCAAACACACAAGCTTATAATGAATACCTAGAGATGTACCATCCTCTTCCCAGACAATATATAGATTTATCTGTTAGAGGAGATGAGACAGACAGTGATCGTCAGTATGGAGTGAAACATGACCTTGAAACGGAGAAGTTTAAAATTGGAGGCTCCGATTTAGATATCATTGGAAAAGATTTGAAAGTAAATGGAGTAACGTATGTTGGAACACCTGGTCTGTACGAGTTGCTCTTTAAAAAAGAGCCTACTGGATATAAACAATCGGATTTGGATGATTACATGGATATTCTGAATAGATCTAATGCTTATCGTAGACACTTCAATCCTGAAGAACAAATTCAAGGCTCCCAGGGTGAAAAATACAGGACAATTATAAAACCATATTTAGCAAAGAAGGGACTATTGAAAACTGCTTCCATTCCAAAACCATTCTCAAAGCCGCCCCCACCCACTAGACCACTGCGTAGAACGCAATCGTTACAACACTATACGAAAGGTGGTCTGTTAAATTTAACGGATAATAAAATAGATTATGTGTACTACGACGATCCTAATGAGCTAATAAATAGATTGCGTCTCCTAATCGCTTCACAATTAGCAGGAAATGACTCTGTGAACAACGAAATTTTTTTATCATTGAGGAAATGAGAGAAGCTAAAATTATAAAATAACTGCCAACATCTTCAAATAAACACTTTATATCCATCGTTTAAATCGTCATCATTCCTATCGATAAATTTGGTCGTCATATGTTAAGGGGCAGATCCGTTCCCAAACAATGATAACATCTTCACCAGAATTACAACCCTTCTATATTTGTGAGCCTAAATCGCATCATAGTAAATGTGTGATAAAAATAAAAGGCCTGAAGCAGCATTCTACAATAGTGGGTAGGTACACTTTGGAGAATAATAAAGAGGAGTATATCTTCCCAGAGGAGTATATCTTCCCAGTATCTGGAAAAGTAGAAAATATGAATATGTTACCGGTTACTTGTCAAATGTTCTTGAATGGTGGTGCCGCTATTAATTTGGTTCAACTTCTTCATACAAATATAAATAAAGGAGACAAGATTAGTTTTATAACTGTACCGCAAGAACCATCTTTGTATGTGGAAATCGTTTTACAGTGTCCTATAACAAAAAATGACTAGCATTAGAGAGCAACTTGTTAACGAGCTTCACAAACCAGCTAGAAGAACATTTCCCAGAAGACACGTCATCGTAAAAGGTTTACACGACCTCGTACAAGCTGATTTAGTGGAAATGATTCCTTATGCTAGGGCAAACAGAGGATACAGATACATTCTTATAGTTATAAACGTATTTAGCAAGTTTGTTTGGGCGGAGCCGGTTAAAAGAAAGACCGCTAGAGATGTAACCAATGCAATGCGTAAAATTTTAATGAAGATGAGTATTGCTCCTCGAAATTGTCAGACTGTTTTGGGAAAGGAATTTTATAACAAAGAATTTCGAGAACTGATGAGTAAATATAAAATAAATCACTACAGTACCTACTCCAGCTTAAAAGCCTCCGTCGTAGAACGGGTGAATAAAACATTGAAACATCTAATGTGGAAGCGGTTCAGTCTTTAAGGAAATTTATAAATGGATAAACATGCTACAAGATCTTGTACTTCAATACAATAACACCAAGCACAGGACTATCAGATTGAAGCCTAGCCAAGTGAACAGAAACAATGCTAAAAAATTATTACAAACAGCCTTCAGTCACATCAAAATTATCGATCCTAAACGTCCCAAGTTTAAACTGCACGATTACGTAAGAATCAGCAAATACAGGGAAGCTTTCAGGAAAGGATATGTCCCGAGTTTGAGTACGGAAATCTTTAAAATACGAAAAATTAATTTAACCAACCCAAGAACGTATCTGTTGGAAGATCAAAATGGACAAGAAATTCAAGGAGCCTTTTACNGATTATGTAAGAATCAGCAAATACAGGGAAGCTTTCAGAAAAGGATATGTCCCGAGTTGGAGTACGGAAATCTTTAAAATACGAAAAATTAATTTAACCAACCCAAGAACGTATCTGTTGGAAGATCAAAATGGACAAGAAATTCAAGGAGCCTTTTAGTAGATAAGCAAAAGGAGATCCAGCTCAATTTGCATAATTTAGGGGCGAAGAAGATGTTCAGGGCAGATTCCCTCGAATATGTGTCATTTTCCCGCGAAGAGGGGTTTTAGATTTTGAAGATGTAAAAAAAGAAGAGGTTCCGGGCAGATTCCCGCTAGGAGGGGTCCTTTAGAGAAGATGTAAAAAAAGGGAGGGGTTCGCGGCAGATTCCCGCAAAGAAGGGTTATTTCGAGGCAGATTCCATCGAAGAGGGGTCATTTAGATTTTGAAGAAGATGTATTTGTGGTAAATAGGTTCATCAATAAATTATCTTCGTTATTTGAGCCACCCTATAATTATATAATGCACGGGTACAGCACAGCGCTAGCTCAAGCGAGGGCTACCTTTCACGAGACGGTTCGCGGCCGGAGAACGCGGTACCGGCCCCGGCAGTGACCTAAAACGATACGCCGGCCGTCTAAAATATANTATAGGCTAAAATGTTTACACTACTTAGATTTTAAAATCTTCTATAATAATGCTATACTTCATATTACTAATTGCGATGGTTGTTCGATGGAAACATGTATAGATAAACTAATGAACTTATGTTACTTAAACAATTGTGAACAAAGTTACTGTTTGCTTGAGTACCTAACGTTTAATCAAAATCTAGTTCTTAGTGATATTGAAAAAGTGTATGAATATCACATGTAAAATGTAATAAATAAATTATTAAAATACTCTAAAACTTAAAATGTGTTTATAATTCCCCATTATGAAATAATACAATTAATAAATAATATTCTTCTTTGTTTACCCTATATTATCATTTATGTTCTTGAATGCAATATTCACAGTTAATAATCCTTTTAGGTGGGCCGTCTATAAAATCATTGTGGGTGTTTGATAAATAATGTTTTTTACAAGACTTATATTTCTTTATCACTGGGTCATTTCGTATATAATCGGGTAATATATGCCATCCGTCTTCAAGATCACATACACTAATTGTTTTGATGTAGTTCTTCGGTAAGTAATATATTTGTTGTAAATCCATTTTTAATAAACACTTTAACTTGATGTGAGAATCAATAGCTTGCCACGTTCTCTCAGCAACACATCTTTCTCTTTCATTCATTTTTCGCGATTGATAAGATTTCAGTTATACTCGTAGTTTAATTCAAAATCCAATATTACACTATCATATTCTTTTTATATTTACTGTTTCTATAATATATAAAATGTAATACCCCCACTTTATTTGATATTTAAAAGAAATTTTAAATAACATTTTAATAATATATTTTAATAAGCCGAAATAGCTCAAATGGGAGAGCATTAGACTGAAAATCTAAAGGTTTCTGGTTCGAATCCAGATTACGGCATACTTTTTCGCAAGAGTAATTCATAAAATTTAATATCTTCACTTTGTTTCAATAGTAAATGAATTAATAATTCATTCTACTTATATTCTACTCGTTTATCTTTAGGGTTTATATTTATTGTTTCAGTTGATGATACTATTAGGAGAAAAAAAGTTCATTAATAAATTTTCAAATTTTATTTTTTATTATTTTCTAATTTATTCAGGCGCAACCTTTCCTCATCATTTTCTAATTTATTCAACCTCAACCTTTCCTCTTTTCTAAATTTCTTTTTTTCTGATTTTGATTTGCCCGATGGTGGACTTCTAATAATTTTATTTGCCATCACATATGGCATAGAATCGTAGGTTGGGTAATCATCATCATCCCAGCATTCCTCTTCTAGTGACGGCGTCGGAGTAGATTGACTAGGATTAGGAATTTCTTCAGACATTTTTGAAAATACTGAAACAAAATTTGACTAAATTATTAATTAATATTTCAATTATATAAAATGTAAACTGTATCAAGAAACAGTGAAAGGGTGAATTCTACAATACCTAATACCTATTAACGATATTAAAGTTGAATATTAATCTGTAAATTAATAAGAATAAATAAAAATTCTACTTACGATTAGAAACCTTGTTGAAGAAAAGTCGATGGAGAGAACTGTTTATACTTTGATTTCAATAGAAACAATTTTCTGTATATATACACAAACTTAGGACATTTTTTTGAAAGTCAATCATATTGCACTCGAATAGCCTTATTATTATTTCTTCGTTTGCATAGAGAATGCAAGATACTTTTCAAAAAATCTAAATTAAGGTTAGTTGCTACCGTACATGACTTGAAGTAGTTTTAAAAATATTTACTTTCTAAACCACAAATCGAAAATTAAAAATATTTAATAATCACACTTAGCAAATGCATATTTCGTTAATTCATTTGAAGATGGTTACTCAGCTAATTCGAACCATAAATATGTTTTTAACCATCTTCTTCAAAACTACGAAGAGCCCTCTAGCGTGAATTTGTGAGATTCCTTGGAAGATTCACTCTTAAATTATATGATATATATTTCAAAATGAGGGCAGAAGTAAACGGCGTTTCATTTCAGGTGCCATTCTCCAGCCGCGTTAAGAAAAGTGAAAGTCTCGATCGCCTGAGTCTTGGCGCTGGCATTCTATAATAATAATTATTATAGGCTGACTCAAATAACAAAGATAATTTATTGATGAACCTATTTACCACAAATACATCTTCTTCAAAATCTAAATGACCCCTCTTCGATGGAATCTGCCTCGAAATAACCCTTCTTTGCGGAAATCTGCCGTGAACCCCTACCTTTTTTTACATCTTCTTTAAAGGACCCCTCCTAGCGGGAATCTGCCCGGAACGTCTTCTTTTTTTACATCTTCTTCAAAATCTAAAACCCCTCTTCGCGGGAAAATGACACATCTTCGAGGGAATCTGCCCTGAACATCTTCTTCACCCCTAAATTATGCAAATTGAGCTGGATCTCCTTTTGCTTATCTACTATCTTCATTACTTTTTGTTTGATTACCGCTGTTAATGTCATAGTGAAGGGTATTTTGTCTTTTTTAGCACTTTTTGCATCCAGATGATTTACATACATACGCTGAATGACCTTTTCTAGGTTAATTTGTACATAAACCTAAGTTTTTTATTTCATTGTATCTAGATTTTACGGGTTGCATCTCAAAATTTTTGCAACCGTAAACGTAATGTGAACCTTTACAATAATAACATATGGGACCGGTTTGAGAAACGTGAGTTTTTTCCTGCTGTTTATCGTGAGCATATGTATATAAATTTTTGAACGGTTTATTAATTATTTCAACAGTTTCTAGAAAAAGACATCTTTCTGTTAAAAACTTTATAATATTACCAATTTTTACGTCGTTTAACTTTGAACACTTTGCTCCACTCTCTTTGCGAATTTCGATCTGACTGACTTTTATGACTTTTTTATTTTCAAAACGCTCCACTAGCAATTCCACGCTATATTGTAATTTGCTTCGGCAGCTTCTAATTCCGAAATTACTTTTAACGCTGCACCAGTTAAAGAGAACTGTAAATAAAAGAATTTTGTACCGCATTTATATTGGTATTTCTGTTTACTAACGCATTGTATGAATCTTTAAAGGAAAGCCATTGCCCATACTGACCATCGAATTTAGGTAAGTCAATGGAAGGCAATTGAACAAATGAATTTGTTGTATTATTAAGACGATTCCTTTACTGACATATTTGCGGACGAAATTATGTCCTTAGCACATGAAGCATGTGTGAAAAAATGTGTTTTCAAAATGTTCTCTTTGTATTGTTTGTTCGTCGGACTCATCGATTAATTCGATTTGTGATTGAACGTTATCAAAATCTACCCATAGTAATTCTACTAAACGAGACGCTAATTGGGAAATAGAAATATTATCTGAGTCAAATTTATCTAAAAAAATGTAGAAAAACGTATTAACTGAGCTTTTATTTGCCCACGCCTGGCATTTTATGGTTTTAATTCCATTTCCATCTCTTCATTTGACATTGTGATGATTTTTAATTTACAAAATTATAAAATCTAAGTAAAAAGTAACAATACCCAATAGTAACTGAACTAGCGAATTTAGCAAGCGTATGTTCGCCCAGGGCACTTACTCGGCGACTAGTTTAGAATTTGTAGATAATGACAGGAAAATTAAAACGGTTTTGGTCCCTGGAACTTACTGGAGTAATCAGTATGGTTCTAAGGCTGGAAAGTTTGGAGACCCCTGCCATAGATGAAACGACCGACGAAGATTTAGCTATTTGGATGTCTATCTACCAACATGTTTTGAGTAGGTACAAGCAATGCTTTGTGGCAGTAAGCTTTGATTATCAATGACAATAAAGATATGACGTGTATTATAGGTTATAGTGTTCCGGAACGTCAAAAAATAAGAGGATTTGTTTTTTTCATATGGACAATTTATTTTATAAGATACATTGAATCAAAGTAGATTTTTAAATCAAATTTTAGCCATGTCTTTTCCTAAAAATAATGCATCATGTTGGAATTTGGTACGGATTACTTTCTTAAATGTATGTGACGAGTATGCATACATTTTCTCTTGTCGGCTATTAGATTGTTGTTTATGTACTCTGCTACTTTATCAAAATTATTTTTTATATTATAATAATTTATAGGATTAGCTTCAATGATGATTTGGGTAGCTAAAAGCACTTAGATATAATCTTAACAAAACAAATTTACAAGCTATATAAAATTATTAAGGAATAGGTTATCTGGTGGACTTTGGGCAGTCAGTGGCAAATTTCTCAAAAACGGGATTCTAAATTTACCTGTACCAAATTTTAGTGCAATACATTGTCTTTTGGTGAAGATATATTTAAAATTTTATTTAAAAAGGTCATCTGTGATGCCTGGTATCTCAAGAAGAAAAGTCAATGTGGTCATTAGGAAACAATCACCCTATTTATTGATGTACCGTCACTCACTAAATATTTTGCATTCATTTCCAAAGTTTTTTTATATAGTAAAAGCTTTGGAATGCCCTATAAATATTTGAATTTTTATAAATTAAAATCTCACCTGCAGCTGTATAATAGGTGAACCGAAGTCAATTTCTGGTTTTATAATCCATAGGCATTCTCTAGTTGGGATTCCTCCCCAAAGAGGTGTGTAAGATTGCATAGAACTAATACCTTGCCCTCGAGAAGCATTAAGAATACCTCTGGCCTCACATTGATAATAACATTCTTTTCCATTTCGTGGATCGCCAAAATAATTATCTTTGCAACGTTCACAATGAATTCCCTGAGTATTGTCTTCGCAGAAGCAGATACCTGTTTCGATATCACAGTTACCTTTATTTTTATTGCCGTGACCATTGCACTCACATATTCGACAACCTAAAAAGATAAATCGTTTGTATTTGTATTGTAAATATATAGTCGTAGTACGCAGGGCACCCATGTTTTCAATAAGCATAAAAACCCTTCAAGAGGATCCTCCATGGCGGTGTTTCCTCCAAAATAATAGGAAACGAACCCCACAAGGTGCAGTTCCCGCCTAAAAATAGGAATCCACAAAACGAAGTTCCGCTCAAATTTCCGACGATGTTTCAAATATTCTAGTCATGCGCCGAGAACGCATCACGCAGGACATAGTTCCCGCCAAATAGCATCTAGTCATACACAAACCACAACAGACGACCTACTACGCCGCCGCCGCGCCGCTCCGAGGACGCAGAGCAGTTACTTTTGAAAACATCGATCTTTCCCACCCAGGCTCCGCAGAAGTCGCAATTGCCACCGAAAGCGTTCCAGATGTACTCACAACGATGCTGCTACGCATGCGACCGAGTGCTGCGGCCCTCCTACCACATAGCAGCCCTCCTACCACTTCTGATTTGAAAATTCTCCACGATGACGAAGTTGCCGTGATTGCCGCAAAAACGCCCGTAGACGTCCTAGACGATGCAGATACGCATGCGACACAGCACTAAACTCCTCTGATCACGCAGGAAGAACGAATTTCACGCATCTTCCCGAAACCGCAAACAAGAGCACGGAGCCAACCTTTCCAAAAAATACTCGAAATCTTAAATGACCTTAGGATAGATACAAATTAAAATAATTTTCAGCCCTTCAACCCTTAAGAGACGACCACCTCATCGAGACGCCTTTTTTGCGAGCCCCGAATTTCCTGTACCTAAACCGCACCAAGCAGCAGGCTACCCGGCGGATTTTACTCAGCTAGTGTCCGAACATCCTAGATGATGCAAATGTGTATGAGACACAGCGCTGTACCATTCCAATCGCGCGGGAAGAACTAAACGAATTTCACATATCTCCCCGAGACCGCAAACAAGAGCACGGAACGCAAAAATTTTCGCCAACCTTTCCAAAAAATGGTGAAAATTAAGTCTTCCGAAAATTTTTAAACTATTAATACTAACAGAAATATTAATTCTATATAAATATAAAATAATTTT